CTCACATGTGCTGTGATCAATATGAGGCATTTCAAATGTAAACCGAATCCTCGGCTGACCGTTTGAAGCATGCACCCGCCGTCTAGCAAACAATCCGGCTCCCTCCGAGTGACGTTGCAGTCCCACCCTCCGTCTATAGGGGTCTATGGTCCGGTCACTGGCTGTTTCTTTAGCGAAACCAGTGGGGGAATACCAGGTCAGGGCAGGGACGAGCTCAGCAGGGGGTGGGTACTCAACTCTTACCGGAACCTCGGCAGGTGGAGCGGCAGCATGCTCTCTAGTCTGGTGGCAAGTGGTGACCGGATGAGCTTCAGCAGGGGTCTCAGTGCCAAAAGTGGACACCAGGACTCCCAGATCATTTCCAAGGAGAACCTCAGCAGGCAAGTTCTGCATTACTCCAATTTCAACGTCCCTGGCCCCGGCCCCCCAGTCCAGATGAACCCTTACAGTAGGAATCCGGTAGACATGGCCTCCTGCTACCCATACAGCCACAGACTGCCCGGTCCTGGCCCAGTCTGGTACCGGTTGGGGTTGGACTAGGGTGAGTGAGACCCCAGTGTCCCGTAATCCTCAGGCCCAACGGCCGGTAACATGGACAACCTGTTGGTGATGTCGGCAATTGTCCGGGGTGGCAGCCTGGAGAGGGTTAGCCTCATGAAAGACCCCGATGTCCTCATCCACGGTGGTAAAATTCCTCCATGAAGAGGCGGTGTCACTCGGGTGGTCCTGTAGGGAGTAGGGGAGTGGGGTCCCGGTTGGTGGTTTGGACTTTCTATGCAATGAGGAAAGATTCCACCACTGCCAAACAATTGCAGTGGAACAGTTCCGCCTGGGCTTCCTTGTGCGGACATACATCACACCCAATGGTCCCCTTTTCCAGCAAGTCTTCCAGTGCTCTGCCAAGGCAGGTATTAGAGCTCAAAACAGTCCTTCCCCAAACCATGAGTCGGAACTTCGTGTAGGGGAATGAATGAATGAATGTTGAAACTTCGTGTAGGGTGAATGAATGAATGTTGAAACTTCGTGTAGGGGGAATGAATGAATGTTGAAACTTCGTGTAGGGGGAATGAATGAATGTTGAAACTTCGTGTAGGGGGAATGAATGAATGAATGTTGAAACTTCGTGTAGGGGGAATGAATGAATGAATGTTGAAACTTCGTGTAGGGGGAATGAATGAATGAATGTTGAAACTTCGTGTAGGGGGAATGAATGAATGTTGAAACTTCGTGTAGGGGGAATGAATGAATGTTGAAACTTCGTGTAGGGGGAATGAATGAATGAATGTTGAAACTTCGTGTAGGGGGAATGAATGAATGTTGAAACTTCGTGTAGGGGGAATGAATGAATGTTGAAACTGTTGAGGGGGAACTGAATGTTGAAACTTCGTGTAGGGGGAATGAATGAATGTTGAAACTTCGTGTAGGGGGAATGAATGAATGTTGAAACTTCGTGTAGGGGGAATGAATGAATGTTTGAAACTTCGTGTAGGGGGAATGAATGAATGTTGAAAGTAATCGTTTAGGGGGAATGAATGAATAGTTGAAACTTCGTGTAGGGGGAATGAATGAATAAATGTGAAACTTCGTGTAGGGGGAATGAATGAAGTGAAATGTTGAAACTTCGTGTAGGGGGAATGAATGAATAAAGAACTTTGAATGTAGGGGGAATGAATACATAACAATGTAGCTGAATGAAAATGTTAAACTTCGTGGGGGGAATGAATGAATAAATGTTGAAACTTCGTGTAGGGGGAATGAATGAATAAATGTTGAAACTTCGTGTAGGGGAATGAATGAATCCTTTATTGAACACAGCTCAGTATATACAGCACATCCTGGCAGTAATCCTTTAGTCTCACCAGACAGCCTGGCACCGGGAACAACAAACCCTTAACCAACAATACAGTATGAAACGGGTGAAAGTCTACAAGGTCACATGTCCCTAAACAGAGGGTCTACAGAACGGGAGGACGGAATCGGGAAGTTATGTCTGTCACCGAACAGCTGCTAAACAGCTTTACCGAGGGGAGAACGGGAAGACCGCTTACCGAGGGGAGAACGGGAGGACCTCTTACCGAGGGGAGAGAACGGAAAGACCGCTTACCGAGGGAGAACGGGAGGACCTCTTACCGAGGGGAGAACGGGAAGACCGCTTACCGAGGGGAGAACGGGAGGACCTCTTACCGAGGGGAGAACGGAAAGACCGCTTACCGAGGTGAGAACGGGAGGACCGCTTACCGAGGGGAGAACGGGAAGACCGCTTACCGAGGGGAGGGAGAACGGGAAGACCGCTTACCGAGGGGAGAACGGGAGACCGCTTACCGAGGGGAGAACGGGAAGACCGCTTACCGAGGGGAGAACGGGAAGACCGCTTACCGAGGGGAGAACGGGAAGACCGCTTACCGAGGGGAGAACGGGAGGACCGCTTACATAGGGGAGAACGGGAGGACCGCTTACCGAGGGGAGAACGGGAAGACCGCTTACATAGGGAGAACGGGAGGACCGCTTACCGAGGGGAGAACGGGAGGACCGCTTACCGAGGGGAGAGGGGAAGACCGCTTACCGAGGGGAGAAGGGGAAGACCGCTTACCGAGGGGAGAACGGAGACCGCTTACCGAGGGGAGAACGGGAGACCGCTTACCGAGGGGAGAACGGGAGACCGCTTACCGAGGGGAGAACGGGAGACCGCTTACCGAGGGGAGAACGGGAAGACCGCTTACCGAGGGGAGAACGGGAAGACCGCTTACCGAGGGGAGAACGGGAAGACCGCTTACCGAGGGGAGAACGGGAGACCGCTTACCGAGGGGAGAACGGGAGACCGCTTTACCGAGGGGAGAACGGGAGGACCGCTTACCGAGGGGAGAACGGGAGGACCGCTTACCGAGGGGAGAACGGGAGGACCGCTTACCGAGGGGAGAACGGGAAGACCGCTTACCGAGGGAGAACGGGAAGACCGCTTACCGAGGGGAGAACGGGAAGACCGCTTACCGAGGGGAGAACGGGAAGACCGCTTACCGAGGGGAGAACGGGAAGACCGCTACCGAGGGGAGAACGGGAAGACCGCTTACCGAGGGGAGAACGGGAAGACCGCTTACCGAGGGGAGAACGGGAAGACCGCTTACCGAGGGGAGAACGGGAGGACCGCTTACCGAGGGGAGAACGGGAGGACCGCTTACCGAGGGGAGAGAACGGGAGGACCGCTTACCGAGGGGAGAACGGGAAGACCGCTTACCGAGGGGAGAACGGGAAGACCGCTTACCGAGGGGAGAACGGGAGGACCTCTTACCGAGGGAGAACGGGAAGACCGCTTACCGAGGGGAGAACGGAAGACCGCTTACCGAGGGGAGGACGGGAAGACCGCTTACCGAGGGGAGGACGGGAAGACCGCTTATCGAGGGGAGAACGGGAGGACCGCTTACCGAGGGGAGAACGGGAAGACCACTTACCGAGGGAGAACGGGAAGACCACTTACCGAGGGGAGAATGGGAAGACCACTTACTGAGGGGACAACGGGGAAGACCACCTACCAAGGGGTGGTGTCATGGTGTGGTGGTGGATCCATCCTGAGTTGTATCAACGGTTCAGGCTGGTGGTGTCATGGTGTGGGGGATCCATCATGCCTTGTGTCAATGGTTAAGGCAGGTGGTGGTGTCATGGTGTGCTGGATCCATCCTGCCATGTATGAATGGTTCAGGCTGGTGGTGTCATGGTGGATCCATCCTGCCATGTATGAATAGTTCAGGCTGGTGGTGTCATGGTGTGGTGGATCTATCCTGCCTTGTATCAATGGTTCAGGGTGGTGGTGGTGGTGTCATGGTGTGATGGATCCATCCTGCTTTGTATCAGTGGTTCTGGCTGGTGGTGGTGGTGTCATGGTGTGGTGGATCCATCCTGCCTTGTATCAATGGTTCAGGCTGGTGGTGGTGGTGTCATGGTGTGGGGGATCCATCCTGCCTTGTATCAATGGTTCAGGCTGGTGGTGGTGGTGTCATGGTGTGGTGGATCCATCCTGCCTTGTATCAGTGGTTCAGGCTGGTGGTGGTGTCATGGTGTGGGGGGATCCATCCTGCCTTGTATGAATGGTTCAGGCTGGTGGTGGTGGTGTCATGGTGTGGTGGATCCATCCTGCCTTGTATCAGTGGTTCAGGCTGGTGGTGTCATGGTGTGGGGGATCCATCTTGCCTTGTATCAGCGGTTCAGGATGGTGGTGGTGTCATAGGGTTGGGGGAGGTTCTCTTGGCACACTTTGGGCCCTTATTGAGCATTGTTTCATCACCATGGTCTTCTGAGTATTGTTGCTGACCATGTTTATCCCTCTATATGACTCCAGTGTCCCCATCTTCTGATGGCTCCTTCCAGCAGGATAATGCTCCATGTCACAAAGCTCAGATCATCTCCAACATGACAATGAGGTCACTGGACTCCAATGGCCTCCACAGTCACCAGATCTCCATCTAATAGAGGCTCTTTGGGATGTGGTGGAACTGAAGATTCCCATCATGGATGTGCAGCCGACAAATCTGCATGACACCATCAAGTCAACATGGAGCAACATCTCTGAGGAATGAAGGCCAAATGGGGTCCAACCCGTGACTAGCGAGGTGGACCTGATATAGTGGCCAGTGAGGGTAATACCCAATTGTTTGGTAAAACATGAAAGATGATGTCACAAGTAAACAGGCCATACATGTCACGCTTTACAATTGGCATACGCCCCCGTGGAACTACGATACCGGGAATCTCCACGGCAACAGTGTAATGGCCTCCACAGGATACCAGTCCAGTGACAGGAGATCAGGTGGTAGAATAACGGCTCTCGCTCTGAGGCTTGCGGTGATGCTGCCCATGTGAGGTGCGATCGCCATCTACATACAAGAGCTTGCCCCAAGTATTTGCCCCGCCCCCAAAATCATGTGATTCAGGTGTTCCAATCCTCTCCATATCATGTGATTCAGGTGTTCAATCCTCTCCGTATCATATGATTCAGGTGTTCCAATCCCCTCCGTATCATGTGATTCAAGTGTTCCAATCCCCTCCATATCATGTGATTCAGGTGTTCCAATCCCCTCCGTATCATGTGATTCAGGTGTTCCAATCCCCTCCGTATCATGTGATTCAGGTGTTCCAATCCCCTCCGTATCATGTGATTCAGGTGTCCCAATCCCCTCCGTATCATGTGATTCAGGTGTCCCAATCCCCTCCGTATCATGTGATTCAGGTGTTCCCAATCCCCTCCGTATCATGTGATTCAGGTGTTCCAATCCCCTCCGTATCATGTGATTCAGATTCAGGTGTTCCAATCCCCTCTCAATCATGTGATTCAGGTGTTCCAATCCCCTCCATATCATGTGATTCGGGCGTTCCAATCCCTCCTAATCATGTGATTCGGGTGTTCCAATCCCCTCCATATCATGTGATTCGGGTGTTCCAATCCCCTCCATATCATGTGATTCAGGTGTTCCCCATCCCCTCCATATCATGTGATTCAGGTGTTCTCCAATCCCCTCCATATCATGTGATTCAGGTGTTCCCACCCCTCCATATCATGTGATTCGGGCGTTCCATTCCCCTCCATATCATGTGATTCAGGTGTTCCAATCCCCTCCTAATCATGCGATTCAGGTGTTCCAATCCCCTCCTAATCATGCAATTCAGGTGTTTTAATCCCCTCCATATCATGTGATTCAGGTGTTCCAATCCCCTCCCAATCATGTGATTCAGGTGTTCCAATCCCCTCCTAATCATGCAATTGAGGTGTTCCAATCCCCTCCATATCATGTGATTCAGGTGTTCCAATCCCCCATATCATGGTGATTCCAATCCCTCCCATTATGTGATTCAGGTGTTCCAATCCCCTTCATGTGTGGTTCCAATCCCCTCCCATATCATGTGATTCAGGTGTTCCAATCCCCTCCATATCATGTGATTAGGTGTTCCAATCCCCTCCCAATCATGGATTCAGTTTCCAATCCTCTCCAATCATGTGATTCAGGTGTTCCAATCCCCTCCATATCATGTGTGGTGTTCCATTATCATGGTTCCAGTTTTCCAATCCCCTCCATATCATGTTATTCAGGTGTTCCAATCCCCTCCATATCATGTTATTCAGGTGTTCCAATCCCCTCCCAAATCATGTGATTCAGGTGTTCCAATCCCCTCCATATCATGTGATTCAGGTGTTCCAATCCCCTCCATATCATGTGATTCAGGTGTTCCAATCCCCTCCATGGACACAGGTGTATACAATCAAGCCCCTAGGCATGCAGACGGCTTCTACAAACATTCGTGAAAGAATGGTCGCCTCAGGAGCTTAGTAACACCAAGCGTGGTCCCGTGATTGGTGGCCACCTGTGCAATACTGCCTTGCTGACACCCCGCCACTGCTCTACTGACACCATCCAATGTATTACTGAAACTGTCCTCTCCCCTACTGACACTGTCCACTGCTCTACTGACTGACACCATCTTCTTCCCCCCTGACACTGTCCTCTGCCCTACTGACACCATCCCTGGTCTACTGACACCATCCAATGCACTACTGACACCAACCACTGCCTGGACACAAACTGTGCTGAATGAATGGGAGTCCTCTGTAGAGGACGCTCCCCGTTTTATTCACTGCACAGTGCAGCTGAGGCTCAGAGAGGGGAATGGAGGAACCGCTGTCCTCACTCCTGTTTCTGTTGTCCTCACTCATCCCCTCCTCTGTCCTCACTCCCTCCCTGTGTCCTCACCAGAACTCCGCTCCCCTGTCCCTCACTCCCCTCCTCTGGCCTCACTCCCTTCCTCTCTGACACTGTCACTCCCTTCCTCTGTCCTTAATCCCCTCCCCTCTCTGTCCTCAACCTCCCCTCTGTCCTCAATCCCCTCCTCTGTCCTCACTCCCTATGTCCTCACTCCCCTCCTCTGTCCTAACTCCCCTCCTCTGTCCTCACACCCCTCCTCTGTCCTCACTCCCTCCCTGTGTCCTCACTCCCCTCCCCTGTCCTCACTCCCTTCCTCTGTCCTCATTCTCTTCCTGTGTCCTCACTCCCCTCTGTCCTCACTCCCCTCCTCTGTCCTCATCTCCTCTCTGTCTGTGTCCTCACTCCCTTCCTACTGTCCTCACTCCCCTCCCTGTGTCCTCACTGCCCTCCCTGTGTCCTCACTCCCCTCCCCTGTCCCCTCACTCCCTCCCCTGTCCTCACTCCCTTCCTCTGTCGTCACTCCCCTCTGTCCTCACTCCTCTCCTCTGTCTCTCACTCCCTATGTCCTCACTCCCCTCCTCTTCTGTCCTCACTCCCCTCCTCTGTCCTCACTCCCTTCTGTCCTCACTCCCCTCCCCCTCACTCCCCTCCTCTGTCCTCACTCCCTCCCTCTGTCCTCACTCCCCTCCCTCTGTCCTCACTCCCCTCCTCTGTCCTCACTCCCTGTCCCTCACTCCCCTCCCTCTGTCCTCACCCCTCCTGTCCTCCTCCCTGTGTCCTCACTCCCTTCCTCTGTCCTCACTCCCCTCCTCCACTGTCCTCACTCCTCTCTGTCCTTCACTCCCTCCTCACTCCCTTCCTCACTCCTCCTCCTCTGTCCTCACTCCCCTCTGTGTCCTCACTCCCCTCCTCTGTCCTCGCCTCCCCTCCTCTGTCCTCTCCCCTCCTCTGTCCTCCACTCCCCTCCCTCTGTCCTCACTCCCTCCTCTGTCCTCACTCCCCTCCCTCTCCCCTCCTCACTCCTCCCCTCCTCTGTCTCACTCCCTTCCTCTGTCCTCCTCCCCTCTGTCCTCATCCTCTGTCCTCACTCCCCTCCTCTGTCCTCACTCCCCCCTCTGTCCTCACTCCCTCCTCTGTCTCACTCCTCCTCCTCTGTCCTCACTCCCTCCTCCTCACTCCCCTCCTCTGTCCTCACTCCTCCTCTGTGTCCTCACTCCCCTCCTCTGTCCTCACTCCCTCCCTCCTCTGTCCTCACTCCCTTCCTCTGTCCTCACTCCCCTCTGTTTCTCACTCCTCTGTCCTCACTCCCTTCCTCTGTCCTCACTCCCTCCTCTGTCCTCACTCACCTCCCTCACTCCCCCCTCTCCTCCTCCCATTCCTCTGTCTGTCCTCACTCCCCTCCTCTGTCCTCACTCCCCCCTCTGTCCTCACTCCCCTCCTGTCCTCACTCCCCTCCTCTGTCCTCGCTCCCTCCTCCTGTTCCTCCTCCCCTCCTCTTTCCCTCTGTCCTCACTCCCCCTTCCTCTGTCCTCATTCCCCTCCTCTGTCCTCACTCCCCTCCTCTGTCCTCACTCCCCTCCTCTGTCCTCACTCCCCTCCTCTGTCCTCACTCCCCTCCTCTGTCCTCACTCCCCTCTGTCCTCACTCCCCTCCTCCTCTTCCTCTGTCCCTCACCCCCTCTGTCCTCACTCCCTCCTCTCCCCTCCTCACTCCCTCTCTGTCCTCACTCCCCTCCTCTGTCCTCACTCCCCTCCTCTGTCCTCACTCCCTCCCTCTGTCCTCACTCCCCTCCTCTGTCCTCACCTCCCCTCCTCTGTCCTCACTCCCCTCCTCTGTCCTCACTCCCCTCCTCTGTCCTCACTCCCCTCCTCTGTCCTCACTCCCCTTCCTCTGTCCTCACTTCTCCTCTGTCCTCACTCCCCTCCTCTGTCCTCACTCCCCTCCTCTGTCCTCACTCCCCTCCTCTGTCCTCACTCCCTCTCCTCTGTCCTCACTCCCCTCCCTCTGTCCTCACTCCCTCCTCTGTCCTCACCCCTTCCTCTGTCCTCACTCCCCTCTGTCCTCACCCCTTCCTCTGTCCTCACCCTCCTCAACCCCTCTGTCCTCACTCCCCTCCCTCTGTCCCCTCTCTCTCCCCTCCTCTGTCCTCACTCCCTATCTGTCCTCACTCCCCTCCTCTGTCCTCACTCCCCTCCTCTGTCCTCACTCCCTCTCCTCTGTCCTCACTTCCCTCTGTCCTCACCCCTCCTCTGTCCTCACTCCCTCTGTCCTCACTCCCTCCTCTGTCCTCACTCCCCTCCTCTGTCCTCACTCCCCTCCTCCCTGTGTCCTCACTCCTCCTCCCCTCTGTGTCTCACTCCCTTCCTCTGTCCTCACTCCCCTCCTCTGTCCTCACCTCCTCTGTCCTCACTCCCCTCCTCTGTCCTCACTCCCTTCCTGTGTCCTCACTCCCTCCCTTCCTCTGTCCTCACTCCCCTCTGTCCTCACTCCCTCTCCTCTGTCCTCACTCCCTCCTCTGTCCTCACTCCCCTCCCTCTGTCCTCCTCTGTCCCTCTGTCCTCACTCCTTCTCTGTCCTCCCTTCTGTCCTCGCTCCCTTCCTCTGTCCTCACTCCCCTCCTCTGTCCTCACTCCCCTCCTCTGTCCTCACTCCCTCCTCTGTCCTCACCTCCCTCTCTGTCCTCACTCCCCTCCTCTGTCCTCACCCTCCCCTCCTCTGTTCCTCCTCCTCCCCACTTCCTCTGTCCTCACTCTCCCCTCCTTTGTCCTCACTCCCCTCCTCTGTCCTCACTCCCCTCCTCTGTCCTCACTCCCTCCTCTGTCCTCACTCCCTTCCTCTGTCCTCACTCCCCTCCTCTGTCCTCACTCCCTCTGTCCTCCTCCCCCTCCTCTGTCCTCACTCACTCCCTCTGTCCTCACTCCCTTCCTCTGTCCTCACTCCCTTCCTCTGTCCTCACTCCCCTCCTCTGTCCTCACTCCCTTCTCTGTCCTCCACTCCCCTCCTCTGTCCTCACTCCCCTCCTCTGTCCTCACTCCCTCTGTCCTCACTCCCCTCCTCTGTCCTCACTCCCCTCCTCTGTCCTCACTCCCTCCTCTGTCCTCCTCCTCCTCTGTCCTCACTCCCTCCTCTGTCCTCGCTCCTCCCTCTGTCCTCGCTCCCCTCCTCTGTCCTCGCACTCCCTGTCCTCGCTCACTCCCCTCCTCTGTCCTCCTCCCCTCCTCTGTCCTCGCTCCCCTCTTCTGTCCTCGCTCCCTCCTCTGTCCTCCTCCCCTCCTCTGTCCTCGCTCCCTTCCTCTGTCCTCGCTCCCCTCCTCTGTCCTCGCTCCCCTCCTCTCCTCGCTCCCTCCTCTGTCCTCGCTCCCTTCCTCTGTCCTCGCTCCCTCCTCTGTCCTCGCTCCCTCCTCTGTCCTCGCTCCCCTCCTCTGTCCTCGCTCCCTTCCTCTGTCCTCGCTCCCCTCCTCTGTCCTCGCTCCCCTCCTCTGTCCTCGCTCCCCTCCTCTGTCCTCGCTCCCCTCCTCTGTCCTCACTCCCCCTCTGTCCTCGCTCCCTTCCTCTGTCCTCGCTCCCCTCTCTGTCCTCGCTCCCCTTCCTCTGTCCTCGCTCCCCTCCTCTGTCCTCGCTCCCTTCCTCTGTCCTCGCTCACCCTCCTCTGTCCTCACTCCCCTCCTCTGTCCTCACTCCCTTCCTGTTCCTCACTCCCACTCTCCCCTCCTCTGTCCTCACTCCCCTCCTCTGTCCTCACTCCCCTCTGTCCTCACTCCCTTCCTGTATCCTCACTCCTTGTCCCTCCTCCTCTGTCCTCACTCTTTTCCTCCTCTGTCCTCACCTCCTCTCCACACTCCCTTCCTCCTTGTCCTCACTCCCTTCCTGTGTCCTCAATCCCCTCTCTGTCCTCACTCCCTTCCTCAAAATTCAGACATCAGAGGTCCCTCCTAAAAACTACTATACTGACACCATCCACTGCTCCACTGACACCATCCTCCACTGACACTCCTGCTCTGACACCCATCCTCTTCTCCACTGACGCCATTGCCTGATTGCTCTACTGATACCATCCTCTTCTAAAATGATTCCATCCATTGCTCCACTGACACCATCCACTGCTCCACTGACACCATCCACTGCCCTAACATTGTCCACTTCCCTACCTACATTGTTAAATGCTCTACTGACACCATCCACTGCTCTACTGACTGACCCCATCCTCTTCCCCCTGACACTGTCCACTGCCCTACTGACTCCATCCAATGCACTACTGACACTGTCCACTCCTCTATTGACTGACACCATCCTCTTCCCCCGACACCATCCTCTGCTCTACTGACACCATCCTCTTCCCTGACACCATCCTCTGCTCTACTGACACCATCCTCAGCCCACACACAATCCACCGCTCTACTGACACCATCCACGTTATGGAAGGCTATGTTTCTATTCTTCCAGCGACATTTGTTTTATTATAGTTTTCCATTATGTTTTCTTTGCTAGTTTGTTTTTTGTTTTTGTTTTTTACA